GGGCCGCATCCAGCCCACGGGCCGTAGTTTGGAGACCCCTGGTCTATAAGGTACCACAGGACTCCTTGTCGCTTTTGCAGATTCAGAATAATACGGCTACCCCACTGATACTATTGCTCAGAGTGTCCTCTGTAGTAGGATATGGTTGATGGACTTGGCTACTTGCATGAGCATAGCCCTGACTGTGGATTTTCCTACCTTGAACTGGTTTCTGACTGAGTGGTAATGGTTTGGCCTGGCAGGCTTCCATAGGGTGATGGCCATACACTTCTGCATGGGGATGGCAGGTTGTATGGGGGATGGCAGATTGCATGCAAGTGTCCTGTCACCATAGGGAAGAGGCAAGCCACTTGCAGAGTTCAAGGATGATGACCTTGCACATTAGGAAGGTGTGCAGCCTCTGATCATCCCATCCCAGCATGAGGATATGGTCCCACCATTCCAAGCTCATCTCCCTCCACCTGAAATGGCATTCCACTGTGTCCTGGGGATTGAGGAGTGTGTGCAGTAAGAGAAGCACCAGAGTTTGGCTAAGCAGGGCCTGTTGCCCCTGCCAGGGTTCATGCTCCTCGTCCTTCTCTTTCTGGAGCAACACGAGGGCACTCTTGCTGTACTGCACCATGTGGTGCAGCATGAGAGCCATGAGCATTGTACTGCTTTGCAGCAGTTCTGGCTCCATGATGGCCGTGCTATGGCATCTGTGTGGGCAACCAGAGCACGAGACGGTGAAATTGCATCCCTTTTATTGGGATGATTGAAATCATAGCCTTTAAACTATATGATTCAGTTTCTGATTTCACATTAATTATATTAATATTAATATCTTAATGCACCAATCCTCCTTACAATCCTGAGTGACATATGAATCAGCTATTGCTTGAGCACCACAATCATAAATAATTGTCTTTCTGCTATGGATCCATTATATTATAATCATCATTAATCACTATCTGCATTACAGTAGTGCCCAAAAACTAGAATCAAGATCCATTGTGCTAGCCATAATACAAACAAGTAATAAGAAAATGGACCTTCTCCCAAAGTACTAAGAATCTAAGATTGACACTATTGCACTTCAGTGGGACTATTGGCAAAGTACATTTTGAAGTTAGTAAGGCTAGCAAGAACCTGACCCTAAATGAGCTGAGATCAAGAACTTAACAGGATTCAAGACTGGGCATTTATACAGATATTAAATTATCCAGAACTGTTATAATTAATGTTAACAAAAATTTGTGGAAAGGAAATTAAGCCTCATGTTTTAGGACCAATCTCTAACTGCTAATGATCAGGATGAGATGTAATGAGGGAAGGGAGATTACCCCTTACCTTCCTGCTGTGCAGTTCTTACACCTTCCTCTGTATCCAGTACTAGTGACTTTCAGAGACAGGATACTGGACTAGATGGATCTTGGGTCTCAGCCAATCTGGCAATGCCTGAAACTCAAAGAATAGCACAAAAAGTAGAAACTAGGTCAAATTATGAAGGACTAATATAAAAACCAACAACAGCACAAGCATGTAGGAACAAAATTAGAATGGCCAAAGCACAAAACCAGATCAAACTAGTTAGGGAAATAAAAGGTAACAAGAAAATATTTTATAAATATATTACAATCAATTGAAAGACCAAATTCAGGATAGGCTCATTACTCACTGAGGAGGGAAAAACTAGAATAGAAAACAGTCTTCATTCTCAAAGTTACTACAGGTTGAACCTCTAGCCCATCACACTCTGGTCCGGCAACATCCATGCTCTGTCATGATTTTATTCAGCGTGGTGTCCACTTTATCATGGGTGTGGCCATGTTTTCTGTGGTACCATAAAGTTTATTTATAGCCACCAGTTCTGGCTTTCAATGTTCTGTGCTGTTATTTAGCTCTAATTTACCCCCAAATGTCTTCTGAGAACCTAATAAGCAGTAGAAGTGTTGGTAATGCTGCTAGATAATATTGATCTCTGATAGTTTGGCAAATTCTTTGGTTTAGCATCTGTCAGATCCCAAGAATGCCGTACTACAGATATTCCACTTGTAGTGAACAGATAACCACCATAATGAAAATCATCAGTGTAAATGAGTTAGGTTCTGAGGCTAAAGTAAGGACAGAACAAGTTAAGAATTCCTAAGACGAGTTAGATGTCTTAGGCTGGCAGGACCTAACAAAACAGAATACTAAAAAAACTAGTTGAAATGATCTGTTAAGCATTTGCAATTATTTTTGAGAATTTGTGGTGATCAGGAAAGGTACTGGAGGACTGGAAAATGGAAAATATAGCATTTACCTAGTTACGAACCAGCAGACCAGGCTTTTCTCACCGACGCCTGGGGTTGCCCAGGACCCAGCAGCACCCCAGCTGCTCTGCCCCAGGCGTGTCTGATTCAGCCGCTGCTGGTCAGTTTCAACAGCGGCTGAAACTGGATGCTAGTTCCGACTTACATACAAACTCAACTTAAGAACAAACCTACAGTCCCTATCTTGTACGTAACCCAGGGACTGCCTGTAATCAAATAATTTAGTTTGTAAGTACCTTGGCAAAAATAAGATAACTATCAACATAGATTTGTCAAGAACAAATCATAACAAACCAATCTAATATCCTTCTTTGACAGGGTAACAAGTCTTGTGAATTGGGGATAGTAGCTCGTCTGGTCTCTCGTGGCCTCATACACGAAATAGGGAAATATAGCCTTCATAAATCTACTTCAAGGTGGGTGAACAACTGGTTGGAAAATGATACTCAGAATGTATTTATCCATGGTTCACATTCAAGCTGGAAAGGCATATTGAGTAAGGTCCCAAAGAGATTTATTCTGGCTCTGGTGGTATACAGTATCTTCATAAATGATTTGAACAATGGCACAGAGTACATATAACCCATATACCTAGTGTGGTTCACTGTCTTATGTAGTGGTACTTTTATCTCTCACTGTAGTGATCTGAATGAGGGAGCTCTAGAGATGAAGCTGACCACCAGCTGGCTTTAAGCTCAAGTGGTAGAGGTTCCTACATTTAAACTCCAGAGGTCCCAGGTTCAAATCCACCCCATGGAAGTTACATACACTGAAAGCCGTGGTCACCAACTCATTGATTGTGATCGACTGGTTGATTGCAGGAGTACGACCAGTTGATTGCAAGGCATACCAGTCCCCCCCCATTCCCCTCCAACTCCAAGAAGAAGCTTGTACTGATGTTACCTCCAGTGAAAATGGAGGTAACACTAGCTTCCTGCGGCATGGGGGGAGGGGGGGAAGAGTCCCACAGCTGCGAGCCAGGTGCAGCATCTCAGAAAGCGTGCAAGCTTTCTCTTCCCCTCCCCTAACAGCTGGCATGTTTCCTGGAATGCCGGGTCTGTTGCGCTCCCAGACACTTCCTTCCCTGGGGGGGGGGGGGGGGGTGGAGTAGGAGTCTTGGGACTGCGCACCAGGTCCAACTTCTCAGGAAGCATGCTGGCTATTGTGGGGAGAGGACGAAGAGCACGCACTTCCTGAGAATTTGGAGCTGGCATGCAGTCCAGGTACTCCTACTTCCTCCTCTCCCTGTCTCCTTTGCTCCCCATGCAGTAAGGCAGCAGGGGGAAGGAAGCCCTTGGTGGCGCAACAGACCTGGCTTTTCAGGAAGCATGCCAGCTGTTTGGGGAGGGGAGGAACAGCCCACATGCTTCCTTAGACCCCGGGCCTGGCATGCAGCTGTGGAATCCCCAGGTACCAGCTGAGCTGTTCCTGTCCCCTCTTCCTGGCCAGACCTCCACAAGTATCTGCCCCACCCCCCACCAGTACTTTGCCCCCTTCCCCAGCATCCTGCCTCAGCCCCCTACCCCTTGCCATAGCACCTGACCCAGCCCCCACAAGCACTCTGTCTCCTCCCAAACCCCCACCAGCACCCTTCCCCCAGCCAGACACCATAAACACCCTGCTCTTACCTCCTGCCCTCTTCCCAGGCCCCCACCAGCACTTTGCTCCCTGGCTAAACCCCCACCAGCACCCTGCCCCCTGGTCAAGCCCCCACTTGTCCCCTGGCCAGATACCCACCAGCACTCTGCTCCTACGCCTCCCTCCTGGCCAGACACCTACCCCCAGCTTGCTCCTGTACCCTATTTTCCACCCAGATTCTTCATCCCCCCTTCCACTCACTGGCAGCCCTGTCCCCCACACTGGGTCCCTTGTTTTTGGCCCCACCTCAGATTGTAGAGGGGTCAACAAATTTCATTAACCCTGGAATCCCAGAAGAGTTAATCTGTCCTGGGGCTGGAGTGGTGTGGTGGGGTGTGGTGTGTGTGTGTGTGTGTGTGTGTGTGTGGTGTGGTGTGTGTGGTGTGGTGTGGTGTGTGTGTGTGTGTGTGGTGTGGTGTGGTTTTTGTTATTGTTGTTGGGTTTTTTGCATTTCACTTGTGTGTCCTCAACTGAATTTTCTGTGGGTCAGTGACCCCCTGACTCAAAACAGGTTCCCTGCCTCTTTCATAAATAAAGACAATGCTGAAACATTTTCTATTTGACATAATATTTTATTTACGAATGAAGCTTCGCCAGCAAACCCCCAATAGGGGCCAAGCCTCAAATGGCCTTGAAATTCACAAAATATGTTCACTGAGACCAACATAAAAATGTTCTGTCTCACAGAGCTGGAATCCACAATTCATATAATAATTTACATTTGTCCTTCCTATTTGTGTTTTCTTTTGCTGAGGTTATACTCCAATAAAGACCTGAACCTTAGTACCATAAACGTCCATTGAAGTTGAGGGCTCTCAGCATTTCTTTTTAGATGGTTATCCTCATTCATTAGAATGCCTGGATCAAATCCTTCTCTCACCAAGATCAGATCATTACAAAAAAAAATCTTTTATAAGATTGTGATCAGCAGGTTTATATTCTTGCAGAAGTTTGAATCACATTAAAGGTTTTACATCATTAACTAGCTGTCTTTAGGTTTAGGTCTAAAAGGATTTGGAACAATAATTGTTGCAGAATAACACATTAAGTTTCTTTTGCATTTTACAGCAAAGAAGAAATACTGGCACTGTCTGATGAAGACATATGGAATAATTCAAGGACTTCAGGTACAATAGCTAGTTTAATTAGTTCTTTCTTACTGCACATGCTAATTAAAATAAAGTAACAAACAGCCCCAATGGATGTTAAAGTATATTTTTGTTAACTCTTCAGAGGTAAACATCCCTGAAATTGTCTATTCACATGAGGAGGACAAAGGCAGTGAATCGAATAGTGAAAATGTAAAAGATATAAATGTTGAATGCAATGAAGATGATAACGAAGATAATGAAAAAGAATTAGAGTTGCTGGTAAGTGTTACCCATTTATATCCATAGTTTTAGATTATATGAATCCATTTACACATCAAAGGTGGTGAAATGCCCCTTTTAACCAAATTGACTGATGTACTAATTTACAAATGTAAACCCATAGTGTGTATTTGAATTGTGTGTCTCTCTGAATCAGCAATAGAAAGTGATTTGAGTAAATTTAATTAAGTTCTTGCGGTCTTAAATTAATGACATCTCTCTCTTTCTTCCTTACTTGAGTATCTAAGTGACAATTTCAAAGACTTAGAAGAGTGACCTTTCAAAAATCTCTCTTTCTAGGCTCTCTGAGAATATACATAACACAAACACTTGAATTTTACCAAATATTCTTTATTTATGGTACCATGAATCTTACAGCTTTCTCAAAGACTAACTGTAAATGAACAAAATTCCAATTTCTATAATTTTAAGACGAAAAAATATATAACTACTTCAGAGAGGTTTCTAGATCCATATTTAGTAGTTAATTTGTTATAATACATTTCACATTCAGTGCACATTCAATCTATTTGGAGATTTTTATGATTTGGCTTCCATTTTGCACAACAAAGGAAGAAATAGCTGTATGTGTCTCATTTACTGCCATCTATTTTCAGTGTCTGTTTTGAGCTTATATCTGTTGGGTACCTAGATTCATAATCCTAGATTAAAACGGCTATCACCTGAGAAATTGTAAATGTTGAATCAGAGTAGAGAGGAAGAGGAGTGCCACTCTGTCTTTTTGATAGGGGGAAAAGGAGAATGTTTTCTTCACACTTAGGTATGGAATTTTCTTAGCTCTAACTTTAAGGAAGTTCAAAGTTGTCACTTATTGTGGGAGCTCTCATTTCCTGAAAAATCAGTATTTTCATATTTTCTAAAAGACAAAACATATTTTTAAAAGACCATAAAATCACATTTTCCCCTCAATTTACCCTATTACAGTGAGCAGGTTCAAATATAGCAGTTTGTTTATAAATTACAGAACTTGTCCGTACAATAAATGAAGAGGGAAGCTGTAATTTAGATGTTAATTTGTACTATGCACGCTGTAATGAATTAAACAATGAAGATCTATAATAGATGGAAATACAACCAAATCTTTGAAACCCACAGGCATTGGCTCACAAGACAGCTGTGCGGTTGACAAGTAACATGAGCCTTATGTGAGAAGAAGGGAAATCGTAAGATTTGCATATAATTATTGAGATCATGCAAATGTCAGTTATGAGAAGCAAAAAAAAAAAAAAAAAGAACCACACAAGCATCTCACTGTTAAATCCTGACAGTTGGCATCACCGAAGAGCTCAAATACATTTGAGCACCAGTTGGCAGAGGGTCATTAAAACAGAATTTGCAGAGACATTAGCTTCTTCACTTTTCTTTGAGTGACGTTTTACTATTAATAGTTTGCAGTGGCTTTGCAGAAAACATATTAATAAGAGAAACTGTAATGGGGGTATCTACAGCAAGTGTAAATGTAACAAGGGGTGCCCAAGAAGCTATCCTCTAATTGATCAGCATGGAGCTATCAGTGTGAGTATCCTAAAGTGCGAGAGAGTGCAATGACAAGCAGGCTGAGTTGAATAATACAATATACTCGGAAGCCAGGGAAGGAGAGTGATTAGTTTCTGGCCTTTTACTTCACTAATCTCATTTCCGATGTCTGCCTTACCAGATTGTCTAAAACATTCTGGTTTGAAGCCTGTAAAATGGTTCCTATGAGAAATGAAGCAAAGATCATTCTAACTCTATTTGTCAATGTGCAACATGTCCTTTGTTTTACTGGACAATGCTATATGTTACTAGGCTTTGATATACCATATCAATGCTGACACTCAAAACAAAATAAAACAAAACAATCCAAACAAAAACAAAAACCCCAACAAAAAACCTGCAACCATAGAACTGAATGTGCAGAGAATTAATTAGCCTCCCATTTAGAGACTATTTTCTTTAGGTTTGATTTGTATAAAATGCACTTTCAGCTTACTGAATTCATGAATAAAGAAACAGTGTTTGGAATACTATTTATGTCCAGCTCTTTTCAGATTCACTATAAAGCTCATTACGTATGTTAAAAAATACATACAATGCAAATGTTGCAAATTGTTCGGAACATGTTTTCATAAAAGCTTTGAAACTGAAAACACAACTTTCCATCATGAAAGCCTGCCACATTCATTTTGAATATTTTTATAGAGCTCATTTTGATCATTCTTTTCTATTCTGTTGTTTCAGCTAAGGCAGCAGTTCACAAGAACTAGAGGTACTTCTTCCAGAGATGAAAGGAATTTATATACAACAGAGCCAGTTAATTTTCCAAATGAAGCTCAAGGACTGGAGAATAAGCTAAGACTTATGGAAACAAGCACTGACTTGCTCAAGCAGCCTGTACCTATCATTTCTCCTTCAGAAAATACTTTACAAGAGCTAGGAGAAGAATTACATGATGACAAAAAGTATTCCATAAGTTATGATTATAGTCAGCCATTAGCAGAGGAACTTACTGCAGGTTCTGTAAACAATAGTAAGCAGCCTTTGGAATGCATTGGTACCAGTGAAATGCTTTTATCACAGGAATATTTCCCTGGAACAATTCAAAATGTGAGTATCCATATTACAGATACTGTCTCAAAAAGACAAGGAATAAGCCAGGTAGACATTTCAAAAGATGAAACAGATAGCGCAGCAGGAAGCAAAATGATGGCGAGATTATTTATCAGTGAAGATGATGTTGATAAGTACAAAGAGGCCTGGGAAACAAGACCAGAAACAATTTCTTCGGAACATGATGAATCACAGAAATTAAATACACGTGTAACCGAAGCACTGGATGACAATGCTAACCCAGCTCCAGAGCGACACATTCTGCAAACATCTCACCTAATGCTGGAGACTGTATTGCCAGACAGTGACAAAACTGAAGAAAAAACTGAAGATATATATGCTGGTACTTTTTCACATTCTGATGTCTCAATAGATTCCTCAAAAAACCCATATTCAGAAAAAGAAGTTGTGGTAGAAGCATCCAAAAAAGTCTGTAACACTTATTTAGGAAAAGAGGAGAAAGAAATGAAGTTAGATGAGTTAGGACTGATTAAAGAGCAGGAGAGTGGCGACACCATAACTGCAAAACTTTTCAGTGTTCATGGAAAATATATTAGTGAAGCAAAAAACACAACATTGCCATCAGCTTCAGATGATAAACACAAAGCCAAGCCTTCACAATCAGAAGACCAGCTGATTTTCCATGTAGCTGATGAAAGAAGAGCTGGAGACACTCATGAATTCAACCAGGTGACTTGTCTAAAAGATAGCAGAAGCCCCAACAATAGAAATGAAGGAAAAGAAATCACAAGCTCTATTGAAGGCCAACAGGGGAAAGAGGACTATAGTGACTTAAGTGATTACTTGAAAACAGACAGTAGATACCCTGATGCCACTCAGAGTAAAATGACTGCCTTTCCCACTGGTGACCCAGAATTTGCAGTGACAACTCGCAAAACAAAAGTTACAAGCACTACATCATTGAACCCAGAGGATACACCTGATACTAAGGAGAATGATCCTGAGCTTTCTGAGGAAAAAATGTACAGCCAAGATAATTTCACAACAAAAAAAAGTATTTTGGAGACAGAGCCTTGTCACCTTGAAACTGAGAAATCGGACAGCATAGTTACAGATGATCAGAGCAGGGTAGTGTGTGAAAATCAAAGGTGGTGTGTTTCGGGAAGTAAGCCAGTAGAAAGAGAGACTGAGGCAAATAGAACAGAAGAGATTAAAGAGCAAACAGATGGTGAAGTCATGTTGGGAATGAGGAATAAGACAAGGTATTTGAATGTTACTCCCACAGAAGAATTGTTTACCTGCCAAGAGACAGTGGGATTTGAAAAGTCTCCTGTAGCTGAACATGGTAATACAGAGGAAGCAGAAGCAGGTACAGCTTATATAATTAAAACAACATCAGAAAGTGCTTCAGAAAAAATGTCTGCTAGTGAAAAAGCAGTAATTGCTAAGCTACCTCAAGAGACTGCACTAAGTGACAGGCCCACAGAGGAAAAGGAAACAGCGTTTGATACACATGAAGGGAGAAATGATGGTTCACATTATACTCTTTGTCAACGCAATACAGTGGGTGTATTATATGACACCGAATTTGAAAAGGAATCAGTTTTAGATATTTATAATGCACACGTATGTGAAACACTGCAAGGAGAAATGATGTCTGTGTGCAATACCAAGGAAAAAGTTTCCAAAGCAGAACAAGATATTGGAAATAATCCACCTGTAGAGGAAACATTACAGGCTTTTGCAATAGAAGGAAAAGCTGGTTTTGAGCAGGATTTATATTCAGAAGAATCATTGAAAGTCCACCCAGATCCCAAGCAGTGTCTGTACAGTGACAAAACTGAAGAATTGTATAAAGAAGAAAGAACTCTTGGAACACACTCCCATTCAGAAGCCAAAGGTGAAACAAAACCATCACCCTCAGATATAAATATTGTGCCTGATTATCATTATGAAAGCTCTCCAGTGACAACTTCTGAAGAATCTACTGAGGTGGTTACAGCTACGGTAGAAAATACAAAGCATCCATACACAGCCTCTGCATTCAAATCCATTGCCAATATTTCTGTTGAGTCAGGATATCATTTCAACCTACCAAGCGAAATGACATATATTAATAAAAACATCATTGCTGAGGCTGAACACAAAGATCCTGAGACTTCGCACCTATTGACTTCGAGTGATGACAGAGAAAGGAATATAGGCCAGTGTTTCCATAAAGCTGAGTTCAGAGAAGAGGAGTCATTAGGGCCAATGATTTTAATTAGTGAGCCTAGTGAAGAAATAGAAGAGAGAAGCTCTGAAGCTGAAGGTTTACTGACCGAAGGGAAAATATTAAACTGGCCTGATGACTCTCAGCATGAAAACCAGCACATTTCTGATTCTTCAGATATTTCTGACCAGAACAGTGAAGCACATAGTTTATCTACAGAGTGTCAGGTTTTAAAGCATATCAGTTACAGAATCTTTAATTTCCTCTTGTTTGCTGTATTTGTTATAACAACCTACCACTATGATTTAATGGTTTGCTTTGCATTCTATCTATTTTCTTTGTACTGGCTACACTGGGAGGGAGGAAGACGCAAGGAATCTGTCAAAAAGAAGTAACGTTAAGTTTCATGGTTTACATGCTGTACTTAAAGTTTGAGGTTGATTACTTTCCCTCTCCCCCCCCTTTTAATTGTTGAAAGGAAATATTCATTGTTAGAACCAGAGTGAGTTTTCTCTTGAAGCATCTTTCAAAAGGGAATACGTATGAAGTTTGCACCTTCATATAAGTAATTATTCTATATAGGACCATAATGTTTGGATCATTAAATACCTATATGAATATGAGATCTGAAGCATATCACGTTAAAATTAAATACAGATGTTGCTCCTTAGCAGGCAGTGAGGATGCAATGCTTCATATCTCTTGAGTACTTAAAAACACCATTTCTTGCATTAATATCTCTTGCAGCAAAGCCTCATGTATTTTCTGAGTTTTTTTTTAAAGGTTTTATACAGTAGATAACAGGGGAATGGAATTATAACTAACTCAGTATTTTAATACTGACCTTGCAATTGGTGATCTACTAGTGTAATTAGCCAGTACATTGTGAGAGATGAAATCTGTTAGTAGATTAAATAGTTCTTTCCAATTTTTATTTAATTGTTTTAAGTTAGTGCAATAATAATATTCAAATCTGAAAAATGTCAACCTTAGAGTCAAGTAACATTATGTAACTTTATGTAATACTTCAGCAGAATATGTTAGCTCCTTTCATACTACTGAGCTGAAGGATACAGCTAAGAGCTTATCACTCACTTGCACAAACATTTATAGATGGATTGTCTTCAAATAATATTTATATATTTTTTTTAAAATGAAGACTGTAACATGACTGAAGAATTTAACTGAATTCAAAAGTATTCCAGATAGACATTTTGAATGATGTTTTTCACCTGTGTTGTTTACGAAAGACATTCGTATCTTCAAAGCATTAAATAAAAAAAAGCGTGAATGATTTGGATTGTGTGTGGCATATTTAGAATTGGGTTTGTGATCTTTTTTTTTTATAAATTAACTAGGTCTCATTAGAGCACAATAAAATCAAACGAGAAGGAAAATCAAGGACATGAACCTTGGCTTCCAGAAAGGCTCCTTTTGTGTTGCTTTGGTGATACACAATGAGCCCAAAGAAGGCCACTGAGGGAGTTCCAACACAGGGGGTATGCCAAGAGGGTCACTGCTTCTAAAATACTCACACACTTTACAGGCATGCCAAGAACATGTCAAGGGAGGGAAGGGAGTGGGGCAGTGCATGCAACACTCCAGTAATTTCTAGCTGCAGAAAATCTTGCAGGGAGTCATTGCAACCAAGTGTACTATGGGATAGTCTGAAGCTGAATAACGTTACTAGGACTCCAGAGATTGAGGAAGGCCAAAAGCAGCTTTGCACCACATTGTTTCCCCTCCTCTCAGCTCTACATAGACCTGGGTCATTGTGAACACTGCAAAAAATATGGCTGAAGCTAGATAAAGGTCAGGTTAATCGCTTGTTTTAATCATTAGTTAAGCACTAAAACAGATTTTTGAAAGTTGGCTATAAACTGAATTACTTGCAGCAGGATGTTAGGACACCTGATATATCTATTTGAGGCTGAATATATGGACTATTGCTGTCTGCAGTCCTGACCTGGGTGATGTTTGTAGACACCTAGAGGTTTTGAACAATTGGCAAGGAAACTTGTAGTAACACTGTCCCTATTGGAAGAATAGCCAGGGAGTCCAGTCATGAAGGGAAAGTTCATTAGCTCAGAAAAGGCCATTACTGAATCTTGAGTGGCTGCAAGAGACATGAGATCTGGAGAAATCTCTTATTTTTTGTTGTATTGACCTAACAGCTTGTCCATGCTAGATACTTTGGTATGGGAAGTTTGGTCTAGTGGTTGCATTTAGTCTAGTGGTTGCAAGTGGCTTCTTCCATTTATTTGTACTCAAAACGTAGCTTGGTGTTCTTTGCTTGCCCTTGATTCATCTGATCAAGTGTGAAAGAAAGTGAGGAGTAAATGATGGATCCAGAATTGAGGATTGAAGAACATCAGGGCACTTCATCTAGATTAGACTTTGAGCAATAGCCAGGCAAAAATATGGAAAGTCCATAGAGTATGAGTACACGCAAACTGTAGATGAGCCAAATAAATAAATTTGAGCTATACCAGTATGATACATTATGAACATACATTCAAAAGAAAAAGAATCTGACTTTCTAATCTATACTGTGTTATAATTTATCTTAAGCAGCTGAAGATCATCTAAATTATATCTATATTTTTTGTTCCTTCATACATTTAAATATACACTGTAAGCAAGCTTCTATTCATCCCCGTGTTCAATAGATTAAGAATTTCAAACTTTGGCATTTAATATGTACAGCTATTCAGAGTTGAAATTTAGAGTAAATATTTGAATATTAGAGTGAATATACTTTAGTCTAAATACAAGTGGAATACTGTTAGCATTTCTCAGATTTGAAATGGGATTTCTGTATTCTATATTTACTATGTTTAGTCATCATATCATATCATATGATTGCAAAACATAGTTCTAGATTGATCTATGAACACAGGTGCCTGAACTTATGGGCTTAAAACAACAAAACTACTCATGTTATCTTTTTTTATTTAATATTTGATATGATATCTTTTAAAAATCCTCTTACCTTTCTTTGTAGTCTGAACAGCCCTTATAACATTGGGAAAATATTCACCTGTGTGTTTTTACTTATTTCAGAGAAGCAATTGGCTTAGGCATTTTTTTTTAAATCACACTTAACCTGTCCAATAGTCCTCACAACATGAATCTGGCTAGCCAATAATGGCCACTTCTAATCACTAAACAAAATGGACGCTATGACTCTATACAGCTTGCAGGCCTGTCACTATGAGAAGCCCTTTACGGATCTAACAAAGAGAAAATCACATTTAATTTGAAAGAACGTCTTTCCTCTACTACATACGTGGTACAAATTAGGAAATATTTTATGGCTGCTGTCTGAACTATACTTCTTATGAATAAAAGAGTTCAAATTTCAGCATTTCCATTTGTCTAAACGTAATTTTGAACTAATATTCCAAAGAGAATCAAGGAAGGTTTGTGTCTGGGCAGCTGGTCATTAGAAGACAACGAGGCTTAACATGACCAATACATATTGTGTGGTTAATGTATTGCTGGTTGCCACTGTTGCCTTTTTTGGCTGTGCAGCATTCAGATCACGAGCATCAGAGAAAAAAGGGACAGAACAGAGATAGTAGGCTTCTGAATGGTTCTCTTTGTTCATCACTAGAGGAAGAGCTAGGGGACCCTACTGAGGTATTCTCCTGCCTTTGCCGTTCATTTTGTGAATACGTGGGGAGCGTCTGCATTGGCAGGAAGGGTAGCAGGGTACTCGGTGTGCTTGTGATGTATGCTGGGAAGTCAGGCAGGGTTCTGCGCTTAGCAATTACTTGTTTGGCCTGGAGGATTGGCGCAGGGGAAGTGAAAGGTGGGATGAGGGAGGGAGGGTGGGAGGGGAGTCAGGATGGGGTGCAGAGCTTTGGAATATTGCCTGGGTGAAGTTTCATAGCTGAGGCAGTTAGTGCAGTGTAAAGGAGATGTTTGCATAGGACAAAGGGAATTTTCCAGCTAAGACATAGGTGAGAAGGTGTGCGCTGTTTTTGAGCAGGTTGGGTTGGATTCACTTGTGGGAACTGGCAAAGTTCTGAGCCGGAAGGGGAATGCAATGAGCTGGGTGATGAGGACATGAAATAAATCAATGACTAAGGTTGTGTGAATTGGTGGCATGTGAAGGGTTGTGGCAGGGGGAGAGCTCAACTGGCAGGGTAAGAAAACGAGCATTCTGGTACCAAGTAAAAAGTTTCCCACAGAAAATAGTCATTTGCAAGGCTTCTTAGGAACACCCTTATCTAATTACATGACAGCTGAACGGTTCAGACAAGACTGTGTCTATAGTTTTAAACAGCAGAAATTAAAAGAGACACTATTGCAGCTGAACACTTTGATCAGTTTCCAGCTAGGGGAATTATTGTAAACTCTTCTCAGTTGGTATTCTGATTTTAATGTCCTATAGGCAGGAAACCCGGCAACAATTCCAGACTGTACTCACATTACACAACAAAATTCCCAATGGGCTCCCATCCGGTACTGTTCATGAGTTTCCTTCAGTGGCTAGCTAGCTAGGCTTTTGACTAGAGGCCACAAATCTTAGCTGTAACCAAGGAGTACATAGTTTAAGTGAGTGTCTGTGCTTTCTGAGGTCATTCTGAATGATTTGGTTCCCCCATGTCACTTAGAGAAATCTGAGGGCTGCTCTAATTTGTGCCAACTGTCAATGGTTGCAGGAGGCCATTATGGCTACCAGGGAACACCTACCACAAGGAGCTACTATGGAGACTCTGTATCAACTGAAGATTCCCACTCCAGTGGGAGGAATCTTTCTGTGGCTGGAGTTCTCTCAACTTTACACTGCTACCCTAATGCTGAGGAAGATCAGCATAAGATACTCTGCCGCTCTCTGCTGTGTCTGGCCACGAGGGGACAGAGAATTTCTCTCTATGGCTATGTCTAGACTGCAGGTTTCTTTCGAAAGAGGCTCTTTCGAAACCATCTTTTGAAAGAGCCTCTTTCGAAAGATCGCGTCTAGACTGCAGGTGGATCTTTCGAAAGAGCAGTCCGCTTTTTCGAAAGAGAGCACCCAGCGAGTCTGGATGCTCTCTTTCGAGGAAGCCCTATTTACATTGAAGAACGCCTTCTTTCGAAAGAGGAACTTTCGAAAGAAGGCGTTCTTCCTCGTGAAACGAGGTTTACCGCCATCGAAAGAAAAGCCGCGTTCTTTCAAAATAATTTCGAAAGAACGCGGCTTTTCTTTCGATGGCGGTAAACCTCAATTTACGAGGAAGAACGCCTTCTTTCGAAAGTTCCTCTTTCGAAAGAAGGCGTTCTTCAATGTAAAGAGGCCGTCTTCGAAAAAGAGCATCCAGACTCGCTGGGTGCTCTCTTTCGAAAAAGCGGATTGCTCTTTCGAAAGATCCGCCTGCAGTCTAGACGCGATCTTTCAAAAGAGGCTCTTTCGAAAGATACTTTCGAAAGAGCCTCTTTCGAAAGAAGCCTGCAGTCTAGACATAGCCTCA